TTTGAGACAAGATCTCTCTATGTAGACCAGCTTGACCTCAAACTCAGAGATCCGCCTACTACTGCCTCCTGAGTGCTGGGATTAGAAGCAAGTGCCCCACACCCAGCAGGGGCCTCCATGCCCAGCAGAGGCCCCCACACCCAGCAGGGTCCCCCATTCCCAGCAGAGGCCCCCACGCCCAGCAGAGGCCCCCACACCCAGCAGAGGCCTCCACATCCAGCAAGGGCCCCCACACCCAACAGGGGCCCCCATGCCCAGCAGAGGCCCCCACACCCAGCAGGGGCCCCCACACCCAGCAGGGGCCCCCATGCCCAGCAGAGGCCCCCACATCCAGCAGGGGCCCCCACACCCAGCAGGGGCCCCCACATCCAGCATGAGCCCCCACACCCAGCAGGGGCCCCCACGCCCAGCAGAGGCCCCCACATCCAGCAGGAGCCAGCCTTTTATAATAACTTCTGGAGAACTAACTGGCTGTGGCTCTAGGGAGCGCTACCTTAATCCCTCCCAAGGACACCTCCACTGACCAAGGGACCTCCCATGGGGCCTTATGTCTTCCTAAACTTCCAACACATGAACCTTATGGGACACACTCAAACCATATCTAAGTCACAAAAAAACAAAAAAAGAAGTCCATCCAGGCAGTGGTGGTGGTACACGCCTTTAGTCCCAGCACTCGGGAGACAGAGGCAGGTGGATCTCTGTGAGTTTGAAGCCAGCCTGGCTACATAGTGAGATCTAGGACAGCCAGGGCTACACAGAGAAACCCTGTCTAGAAAAAAAGAAGAGAAGAAAGAAGGAAGGAAGGGAGAGAGGGGGGAGGGAGAGAGGGAGGGAGGGAGAGAGGGGGGGAGGGAGGGAGGGAGATCAATCAGTGGAGGGTGGAGATGTGCTATGGTACACACACTACATGCTGGAACACAGGGAGCTTTGTGACTAATCCCTTCATGTTTACAGCCTGTGAATCACCCACTTAGTGAGTGTCTTCCTTAGTGAGGAAGAGATGGCTTCAGCATGGACACTGACTCATTTGAACTCGTGGTGGCAGCAGTGGCTAAGGTTAGTCTCTGGGACTGCTCACCCGTGCCCTGAGGAAGGCTTCACATGAAAAGGAGCTTGCTTTCTAACTTGTCTGAATTTTGGCCTTGCCTTTTTTTTCCACTCTGTTGTGTGTGTGTGTGTGTGTGTGTGTGTGTGTGTGTGTGTGTGTGTGTGTGGTGTGGCTATATATTTGTGGTGTGTGTGCTATGTGGTGTGTATGTATATGTATGTGATATGTGTGTGGTGTATGCTGTGTGAGTGTGTATATAGTGTCTGTGTGGTGTGTGGTGTATGTGTGTGTTGGTGTGGTGTGTGTATATAGTGTGTGTAGTATGTGTATGTGAGTGTGGTATGTGTGGCCTATGTGTGTGGTGTGTGTTTGTGTGTGTGGTGTGTGTGTACACTACTTATCTTTTTGAGACAAGGTCTCTCCCTGAACATAGAGCTCACTAAATTGGCCTGTGTCCTCCTGACAGCATTGGGGTTACAGACAGGTACCACCACCATCCTCCTTACGTGGTGCCGGAGATTCAAAGTCTGCTTCTCATGCTTTGGTGGTGGTGTTTGTATCACAATCATTTTGTGCATAGGTGGAGGTCAGAAGACACTGTGGGAGTTCTTTCTTTCTCTCCTTCCACGTGTGGGTCCCAGCAACAGCCTTTACCTGCGGGGCAGTTCTTGCTGTTCTGAAAAAAAGCACTTTACCCATAAGCATCTCCCAAGCCACTGTTTTCATCTGATTGGTTTCAGAGATGAGATCTTATTAGATACCCTAGGCTGGAGACCCTGGGATGTGCTGGAGACAGACCCTGGATGTTGGAAAGCGCTAAGGCAGGTCACAGAAAACGCCAGTCTCCTGCTATGTGTGACTTTGGTCATAAGCAATACCTAGAAAACACTATTATCAGGGCTTAGAATATTTTGGTGACATATCCATGGGGAAGAAAATGATTAATACATACTATTTAATAAAATGTAGAGTCTGGCTTCCCTCAGAGCTCAGGGATCTATTTGGAAGAAGAGACAGAAAGACTCTAGGAGCCAGGGTGATGGAGGACTCCAATGAAACAGTGTCTTTCCGACACAACTGGGATGATACACATATGAGCACAGACTGTGGCAGCACGCACAGCCTGCACAGGGCCAAGCCAGACAGGGCCCCAGCACTGAGAAGGAGAAATGGGCACAGGCTCCTACCCCAAAACAAAGAGCTATATGCAACTGATACCTGCTGGCAGAGGAAAAATCTGTTTTCTCCAATGGCGTCTCACTGGGTACATCAACTACTCTTCAGGGTGGGCCCATGCCCAGGAGGAGTCGGCCAACAGAAAACAAACTCAATAGTATTTTGTAGACCTTTTCATCTGCTTTTGCTTTGTTTTGACATTTCTTGTCTTTTACTTGTTTGTTATGATCTTCATTTATGTGGAGTTTGTGTGTGTGTGTGTGTGTGTGTGTGTGTGTGTGTGTGTGTTCCTGTTCCTTGCTTTTGTTTTTGCTTATTTATTTTTTTCTATTTATTTTGTCTGTATGTATGTCTGTGTACCGTTTGCATGCAGTGCCCTCAGAGGCCAGATGCTCTGGAACTGCCATGTGGGTGCTAGGAGTTGAACCCGGGTCCTCTGGAAGAGCAGCCAGTGCTCATAACCACACAGCCATCTCTCCAGCCCATTTATTTTATTTTTTTATTTTAATTTTATTATTTTTAATTATGTGCATGTGTTGTGTAGGTATGTACATGTGTGTGCAGGTGCCCACAAAGGCTGGAAGAGTTGGATCTTCTGGAGTTAGAGTTGCAGGTGGTTGTAAGCCACCTGGTGTGGGTGCTGGGAATCGAACTCTGGTCTTCTGTAGTGCATGCTCTTATCCAGCCCCAGATTTGGGTGAGATTTTTTTTTCTTTTTTTTTTGTTTTTTGTTTTTTGTTTTTTGTTTTTTCGAGACCGGGTTTCTCTGTGTAGCTTTGGTGTCTGTCTGTCTTGCTCTGTAGACCAGGCTGACCTCGAACTCACAGAGATCCACCTGGCTCTGCCTCCCAAGTGCTGAGTTTAAAGGTGTGTGCCACCACTGCCCGTTATTTGGTTTTAAATGAGAGAGAAAAAGAACATAAAGTTGGGTGGGCAGGAAGGTGGTAAGGAGAATCCGGGAGGAATTGGGGGAGGAAAAAAACACAATCAAAATATATTGTATGAAAAAATGGGAAAGGGAGGTAGAGAGATGGTGCCGTGATTAAGAGCACTTGGTGCTCTTCCAGAGGACCTGGATTTAGTTCCCAGCACCCACATGGTGGCTCACATCCACCTGTAACTCCAGTTCTAGGGGATCTGATGCCCTTTTCTGGCCTCTATGAATGTACACAGTATAAAAAACCTCACACAGACACACGCACACACATAAAAGTAACTACATCAAAAAAGACTTAAATGTGGGGAATAGGAATGTGGCTCAGTTAATAAGGTGCTTGCCCAGCATGTATAGGCTCTGGGTTCAGTCCTCTGTACTGAATAAATGGAGATGGTAGTACATGCTTGGATTCCCAAAACTCATGAACTGGAGGCAGGAGAATTAGACGTTCAAGGTCATTCTTGACAAAGTAAGAAGCCAGCCTGAGATACATGAGATTTCATGTAAAAATAGCAATGGGGGGCGGGGCGGCTGGAGAGAGGGCTCAGTGGTGAAGAGCACCAGCTGCTCTACCAGAGGACCCGAGTTCAGCTCCCAGCACCCACATGGCAGCTCACAGTCATCTGTAGCTCCAGTTCCAGGGGATCTGATGCCCACTTCTGGCCTCCACAGGTCCCAGACATGCACATGATGCACGAACACACATGCACACAAACCACCTGTACTCATAAAATGAGTCAATTTTTAAAAATAAAGTAACAATAATAGGGAGTGGAGAAATGGCTCAGTTGGTAATAGTCCTTGCTTTGCAAATGTGAACACTTGAATTTGAATCTCCAGCACCCACATAAAAAGCTGGGCAGGGCTGGAAAAGCCTGTAATCCCAGTGTTAGAGTGGGTGGAAATAGGCAGACCTGGGAGCTTGCTGGCCTAGGGAAAACAGGAAGCCTCTGGTTCAGTACGAGATGCTATCTCCAGGCAATAAGGAAGATACTGATGTCTTCCTCTTGCTTCATGCACACACGAGCATGCTCACATGCACATCCACATGTATGCGCGCACGCACACACACACACACACACACACACACACACACACACACACACACAAAATGATAAGAATGAAATCAATACATTTTGTTACATTATCTTCAATGAATTAGCAGGCTGGATTAATCATATGCATTCCATCAGTCTGATATCCCCAACAAGCCTGTGCCTCTGTCTAAGCAAGTCCATTATTCTGAAAAAAGACATCATGTGGGAATACCATTCTTTGCCCTCACCATGGCCAAAAAGCCCAGAAGACGGGGGAAGTTGCCCAGGTAGAGTTCAGACTCATTCTTCGTAGTTTCCTGTGTGGCTTGAGTGTGTCACATTCCTGTCCCGGACTTCAGGAACGTGGTATCTGACATGAAAGATGAGCATCATGTCCTGCTGTTTTTAAAATGACTTATTTATTTTTATTTTGTGTGCATTGGTATTTTGCCCAAATGTATGTCTATTTAAGAGTGTTGTATACCGGAGTTACAGACAGTTGTGAGCTGCCATGTGGGTGCTGGAATTGAACCCAGATCCTCTGGAAGAGCAGTCAGTACTCTTAACCACTGAGTCATCTCTCCAGCACCCTGATATCTTCTTAAGATTCCTTAACACTGCCCTGGGAACACCCAGGGGACAATCTGTTTTGAATTTGGGGGAGGGAAAGGTATTTTATTTTTAATTAACTAATAATTTATAACCTTGATATGGTGGCTCATGTGGAGGATTGTTGAATTTGAGGTCAGCTGGGTTACATAACAAAAGTCTGTCTCAAAGAACAGAGGCTAGACCAGGGAGATGGCTGAGTAGAAGTGTCTACCCCTCATGTGGGGACCTAGGTTCTAGTGCCCAGAACCATGCCTAAGCAGGATGCATAGCTCAAGCATCTGTAATCCCTGTGCTTCTAAGGGAGAAGGGAAGCAGAGATAGCACACACACACACACACACACACACAAGTCAGAAGTCCACAGGCCAGCTAGCAGACCAATCAGAGAGCACCAAAGGGTCATTATTGCTCTGATGAAACACCCAGTTGGGGAGGAAAGGGTTTATTTGGACTATATAGTAGTCCATCATTGAAGGAAGTCAGGGCAGTAACCAGGAGGCAGCTGAGCTGATGCTGAGAACGTGGAAGAGTGATGCTTACTGGCTTGCTCAGCCTGCTTTCTTACTGAACCCAGAAATGTTGCAGAATATTTAACTATGTAATGATGTTTGCATTTGTTTAACTATGTAAAGATGCGTTACTGCTTCACCTTGCCTGCCTAAGACACCTGATTGCTCTAATAAACAGCTGAATGGTCAATAGCAAGGAAGGAGGTATAGAAGGGACTTCTGGGCAAGGAGAGTAAGTAGGGGGAGGAATTTTGGCTCTGAGGAGAAAGAAAAAGAGACGCCAAAGAGATGCCAGGGGCCAGCCAACCAGACATGAAGCAGGAAAGTAGGACATACAGAATGAAAGAAAGGCAAAAAGCCCTAAGCCAAAATGTAGATGAGTAGAGGGGCTGGAGCGGTGGCTCAGAGGTTAAGAACACTGGCTGTTCTTCCAAAGGTCCTGAGCTCAATTCCCAGCACCCACATGGTGGCTCACAACCATCTGTAATGAGATCTGGCTCCCTCTTCTGGCCTGCAGGGATATGTGCAGACAGAACACTGTATACATAATAAATAAATAAATCTTTTTAAAAAATGTAGATGAGTAGAAACAGGTTAAATTAAGTTAAAAGGGGGCTGGAGAAATGGTTCAGTGGTTAAGAGCACTGGCTGCTCTTAGAGGTTCTGAGTTCAATTCCCAGCAACATATTGTGGCTCACAACCATCTACAGTAGGATCTAATGCCCTCTTCTGGCATAAAGTCAACAAAGCATTCATATACATAAAACAAGTAAATAATTATTTTAAAAAATTAAGTCAAAAGAACTAGTGGGGGGGCTGGAGAGATGGCTCAGAGGTTAAGAGCACTGACTGCTCTTCCAGAGGTCCTGAGTTCAATTCCCAGCACCCACATGGTGGCTCACAACCATCTGTAATGAGATCTAGTGCCCTCTCCTGTATACATAATAAATAAATCTTTAAAAAAAAAAAAAAAAAGAACTAGTGGGACAAGCCTAAGTTAAGGCTGAGCATTCATAATTAATAAGTCTCTGTGTCTTTATTTGGGAGAAGTTGGTGGTCTAAAGAAAACTCCAACAACACAGAACCACCAGCCTAGAGATAACACTACCTAAAATAGGCTGGGCCCCTGTGGGGGTTTGGAAGAAAATGGCCTGCAAAGGGAGTGGCACTATTAGGAGGTGTGGCCTTGTTGGAGGAAGTGCATCACTGTGGGGGTGGGCTTTGAGGTCTCTTGAGGTCTCAAGCCACTTCCAGTGTCACAGTCTACTTCATATCAGCATATCAACATGTAGCCGCTCCTTCTGCAGCACCACGTCTGCCTGCATGTCCGCCATGCTCCCTGCCATGATGATGGACTAAATCTCTGAAACTGTAAGCCAGCCCTAATTAAATGTTTTCCTTTAT